ACACACACACACACACACACACACACACACACACACACACACACACACACACACACACCAAGGTTCAGGTAGTTACGTATTGAGAGTTTATCCCTTTTAGTGAGTGTGATGAACAGGCCTGAACCGTCCTAAATTCACTCATTGTTATGTTTGTGCTTTGTCAAATTATGAATCAAGTCTGAAAATAATTTCATTTGAATCATCACAGTTAACACGGATTTTACTTTGAGTTAACATATTCTATTTCATCTTTGGATATAATTCACCAGTTTAGAGAAACCTGTCACTGATGTTTAAGCATTCAAAACTTAAAAAAAGACCTAAACTATTATTTCCAGAGAATAATTCAAACAGCAGGTTTATTAATGTACGGCGTATGAACTGATAAAAATTGGTTTAATTTGCAAACTGTAGCTCATTTAATGCAACAGACAAAAAGACACAAATATTAGGAAGCAGTTTCTCTGTTCTGACAAATGTTAGAGTTTATTCATTTTAATTTGTTGCATACTAAAACACAGGTTTTAGGTCAGACATTGATTTGATAAAAACGTGTTTTTTATTTACAAGTCATGAAGCAGTAAATTTACCCAGAAATGTTCACATCAGCTCAAAAATGTTCGATTCACAGCAAATTTTCACGTTTAGTTCTAAGTCAGCTGTGTCTTTGCTAAAAAAAACATTAGCCCAGATACTCAACATTTTATTTCAGTTTTAATTTGTTTGTAGTCATAAACAGATAAATGTAAAACTTTATATTAAAATACACTAATTAAAATTTAAAAATCAGTCAAATGAATTTTAATTTTCAGTACACTATCTAAACTGATTTAAGTAATGTAATTTTATACTGACAAAAAATATATATATTATTGTTATACTTTGAACACGTAAACCCACAAAAATTATAGAAAATTTTATTAAAGAATATTTAAAATGACAGAATTATAAGATTCAGTTCAAGAATCAAACTTCCATAACGTATTACTAAATATCTACTTGGCTTTGTGTTGCTGATTTTACAGTAGGGTATTGTCTAATTTAGAGGCTAAATTTTAACACAACTTTTTAATTATTCATCCATATATGAAATCTCCTCCTCACAAAGAAAAGGATGAGCTTTCCGACAGTCTTCAGCACCCCATGTGCCGTTGACATTAATCACACCACAATGAGAATAAGCRGGGGACAGCTCAGGTATTCTGTTATCTCTCCAGTTGTTCCAGTTCACTATTCTGTCACTCCAAATCCAGAATCCAAAAACAGAACTCTGCCTCAGACCAATCCACAGTTTTTCGTTGTAATTACCAGAACCATTAGAGTATTTCAGCCATTGTTCAACAGCGTTTTGATCCTCTCCATCTTCGATCCACAGAAAGCGTGTGTGGTAGGCCTCACAGTAGTTAAGAGCATCTTCCCAACTTAAAGGATGTCCCACTGTTATGATTCTCACACTGCCTGAAAGTAACAGACAAGAGGGAGATTTATATAAACTGGCACTGGAACCCAACCACAACAGTTTCACATAGGAGGACTTTAATTTGACACAGAGCTTCTTAGGGCTCACTATTCAGATTTGGTCAGCTTAACCAATACTATTTTAGTACAATTATTCTTTTGTTGAAACAATTGCTCAAGTGACAAAAATACTGACCTATTGTCTGCGGTAGAATTCATTTCCTAAAATTATCCCACAAAGTTCTCTTTACTTGTTTTTTGGGAAAGTTTGAACAGATCACAAATYAGCTGCTTTTCTTCCATGTGTCTGCAAGTGATGCTTGTTTCTTGTTTTTTGTTTTTTCTGCTTAAATCAAGTTATGACCCCACACACAAAGCAGGAGTCATATTGTTTTTGTACCGTTTATTTTAATTTTAACATTTAAAAAAATTGTGATTTCTGGCCAACCATATCATGGAAACAGCTGCACTGATCAACATGAAACTTGGCAGAAATGTAGATGTGTCTGACCTACACTGCATCAGCCAGTGGTTTTACAGTAGACCCCATGTTTGAGGAGGGGGCTCTGTTTACAAAGGGGGTGTCTGGACATACAAAAATGCTTCTAACTCTAAAAATATTTATTTATTTATTTATTTATTTATTTATTTTTAAGCTCTGATGAAGGGCTACCCGTTGGACCCACCAACGACCCTCACCTAAAACAATAAATCTGTTCTGGTGAGTTCTGGTACTCTGTGTGTGTACAGGGTCACATATGCTAGTGCTATGCAGTATCTAGTTTTGTCTATTTCTTACCTTTGGAACAAAGTGCTGGTTTTGGCTGTTCACATTCTGCAGGAAAAAACGATGCATCAAAATTTAGGAGCACACATGGTTCGCTTGTTGTTTTCTTTACATCCCAGCTTCTAAATGTTGAACAGCTTTTGTCTGCCCATCTCCACTCATCATGCAGGAGCCCGATCCAAAACGTTGTGCTCTCTGGTGAGGACAAACTTTTATTTTTCAGATGTTCATTTTGCTGATCATCACTGATGCTGGCTAAATTACTCAAATGTGTCCTGCAGTACTGCAGAGCCTGGCACCAGTTTCTCTCCTTATTTATCAGGGTGTAATTATTATCTGAAAACAAACAACAAAAATCATTTTAAAAAAGAGTAATGATTTCCCCTAATAATACAGATAAATTTATACAAGTACATTGAACTGTAAAAAAACTGTAGGAATCTTGCAATAGTCTACTGCCCTATGTGTCCTTTTTCTCAACACTTTAAGCACCTGCTCCTTTAGTGTTCTCCGCACATCCAAATTGAAAGGGACCATTTTCTTTTTTTTAACAAGGCATATTTTTATTTATTTATTTATTTTGCTGAACCAAAAACATTTGATAGCAATTTAAAAAGATTTTCTATCATTATCGCTCATTAGTTTCCTGACCTTTCAAGGTTTGTCCTTTTTGACAAAGGGTAAAAGCAAATTTGACTTTGTATATATGCATTATCTCTAAAAATATCATTGGCCAAACCAATATAATAATATTTTATTGTAATCACTCTTTTGTCATTATGATGAGTTTATATTTTAAGACAAAGGAAAAACAAGTGCTGTCTGTCAGAACTTACCTCTTTGGCACATYAAAGGTTTTCTCTCTGAACAGTTGAAACCCTTCCGTACTCCATCTTCAATAGCTTCACATATTTGCTCACCAGGTTTTATGTTTGCATTTGAGTCATTGAATGTAAACTGATCACCATTTGGCCAGGTGGTAGCATTAACCTGATTAAGACCAATCCAACTATCGAAACGTGTTGAAATATGGGCAGCAATAACTAATTTCACCACAAAGTGAGCATCCTGTTGATCATATATAGTGACTAAGGATTCTCCTGTCTTGTTGCATTCCTTTTGTGCYTTGTACCAGCTACATCTTTCTGGCTCCTCACAACTTCCACTAACATTTCTCAAAAATCTCATWTTTCGCAGACGATTTACTGCAAATGTCAACTGTAAACATCCTGTAAAATGACAAAAGTATTAGAATCAATTTCACATAAAGCAGTAAACTATTAAACAGTTGAAGGRTAGTGCACTATACAATATTTGTATGAGATGAGTCAGACATGCATAAAACTACTCAAAGTTTACAACTCATCATTTCACTGTTACATATTTTATTAATGAGCAGTTAAAACTAACTGTGGTAGAAACATCCAGAAGTACTAATAACAACAAACAGTGACTGAGGAGCTTTAAAGATTTTTGTCCTGTAATGTATTTCTGAAAAAAAAAATATCCACTTAATATCAATTTCAAACAAAGTCAGAAATATTTACCTGAACACAGCAAGAAAAACAAAATGCTCATTGTGGTTAAAGTGTGAATTCTGTGTTTTTAAAACTATAAAAACAGAGAGGAAAGAGAGATAAATGACAGTTACTTATTAAAATTCATGGAGAAGTTGTTCAATAAGTTGCAGTTATAAATATTAACTGTGTAGATCAAAATATAAAGACATTTTTCATAAAATTCCTTATGAACTAAATTTAATAAATTTTGAGAAAATAACGACATACCTGATATATATTTGTTCGTAGTGCTGGTCTTACCTGCTGCTGTGAGGAACAGAATGACCATCCTGACTGTTGTAAACTCTTATATTCATTAAAACGGTGATGTAAGCTGAAAGACTGCTTTTACTGTGTACACATGGATTTAAATAAAGTCACACGATTAATGATTAACAAGTTTATAAAGTTCCGTCAGGTCATGGTCAAATTTTACCTGAACAAATGTCCTTTGAGAAAGTGTCTTCTTATTGACTGATTTTTTTCTATAAAGAGATAAGTTTTAAAAAGCCAAAATCACCTTGAAAAAAACAACTTTTCTTCAAAAAGCTGCAGCATGTCACACTGATCTTAAATAAAACTATATATTTTGAGGAAAAAGAGAAAGCATTTTATAAGTTTATATAATTCTCAAAGGAAAAATAATAAATAGTTGACTATATGTACCTTTAGTATTACCTTCAGTATTCTTTTAAGTCAGCAGGCAATGTATTCAATGTCAGGAAAAATAATACACTGCAAAAAATGTCTATCTAACCAAATCTTACAATATTATATCCAGCTAAAAAACATTTTTGATCACGTTTTAGACCGATTTTCCAAACAAAAGCAGAATGTGCATAACTAATAAGCTTGTAAACTTGGAAACTTGACTAAAATTAAGTGAAATAATCTGCCAATAGACTAAGACAATTGCATTTGGTAAGATTCTTGAAATAACTTTGACTCAAATTTTCATTTTTTCAAGATTCTTAKAAATATATTCTGCACTCCATTGGCAGAATATTTCACTTAGTTTGAGTCAGATTTCCAAGTTTACATGATTAATAATCTTACATTCTGCTCTAAATCAGTCTCAAAACAAGACCAAAAGTATTTTTTGGCAGGATATAAGACTGTAAGACTTGATAAGAGGGACAATTCTGCAGTGTATCAATGTAAAATTTCTTATTCCAATGAGCATTTAGTCTTTTTTAGACAGTAACCCACAGTGCACTAAAATCATACGGAAAAACCACAAGAGTTATTGTCAAGTGGAACAAAGTAGATTTTATAAAAACTTTTTCTTTAACTGTTAACTTACTTTTGTGTTAACTTTGATCTTCAGAGTGTTAATTTTTATTTTACCTTTTATTATTTATTTATTCTTTTTTTTATGTGACACTCCTGCTACCTCCTAAGCTATAATTGACTATGGTTCTATGYTATGACTGCATGTGTTCTGTTTATCTCATAAAAAATACTTAATAGGTAAACAGGGATACTGTTGTGTTTGTTTATTTAAATATTAAGACCAGGATCAGAGCCACTGGATTTATACTTTACTTCATCTGAACAAAACTATGTTTGAGAAGATGATATGCAAAATTGTGCTACGGTCAATATTTACTTTTGGACTTACCAAAAGATTGTAAAGGCAAAAAAAAAAAAAAAACTATTTCCTTAAGCCTTCAGCGCCAAATAAGAACTCAGCTAAACCTGAAATTACTCCTGAGATAAATATTTTGTCTTATTTATTATTTAGAATACTGCAAGTAAAACCACTAAAATATCAGTCAGAAAACCTGGGTTGACATATCATAAGGCAGTGTAGGAGCCATATGAGATTTTTAGTTAGTTAAGCTGCATAAACAGACATTGGAACTATATCCCCCAACTGCAGTTTGTCACAACTACAGCTTGTGTCACTTCAGGCTGATAAAAACAAACACGCTCTCATGTTACTTGAACATAACAATAAACATCACATAAGCAGCAACAGGGTTTGTAAAGTGGTTTTGTAAACCTCTGAATAAGATTCTCAGTGAATATAGTTGTCTATTGTGCCCACAGGTTGAGTGTGCTAAAAGTGAGGCTGAAGATAAGAATTCATGCTCTTTAAAGAGTGCAAGAAATGTTTTCAATGCACACTGTGGTCTGCTGCCAAACCCCTTGTGTAGGTGTGAGGCCACAGTGACCCCGAGTATTGATGGGACTGCGAGCAAAGCTGTTAGACAAAGGGGCATGTCAACCTGGTTCAACAGCAGGTGAAGCCATTTTACACACAGAAGTGCTGTTAGACATTCATCCAATCCTGCATCTTGTTTTTAAAGGGCTGAGTGGGGATAAATGTGGGTGTATTTTTGTAAGAGGTGGCAGACGCTGAAGGTTCCTGATTGCCAGAAACTATTTTCTGGCATTAGAACAGGAAGCATTTTAAGTTTGTCTGAAGTGTATGTTTAGTACTTGATGACTAAACCCCACTGAGACACAGTCGATGAGTTTATATAATGTCATAAAGTTTGTTTATTCACACATGGGGGAGGCCCACAGGAAGCAGAATATGATGTAAAAATGTGGAAATCAGTGTTTTACTCATCGAAGGCTCTCCACACATGTGATGATTATATTTCTGTGTGTGTTAGCTCCACAACAAACACGTCCTTGAACAATTG